TGCAATCCCCCAGCTCTCTGCCTAGGCTTTGCTGCCTTCCCTCGTTTCCATCAGGCCTTATCGCACTTAATTTTACTCCTTCTCTCACTAACTGCCCTCTCGCTCTTATCTCTGCTTCAGAGCCAATTTTTTACTCTCTCCCTTTTTTCTTCCTTATCTCTCTCTCCTTTTTTTATTTTTTAAAATACTTCGTGCCTTCTGTGCTGCTCCCTCGCTCTCCTGCCATCTCTCTCTGTCAAGTGCTCTCTCTCTCTGCCACGGCTGTGCTTCCCACAGTCCCCTCTGCACACACATTTCTCCCCCACCCTGGCAGGGTCTCATCCTGCTCTCCAGCACTGCCCAGCTGGTTTGCCATGAAACAGGGCAGGGGCTTTGTAGTGCAGTCCCTACTGCCAGTTTTTTGTAGGACATGGCAGAGGGATGTAGGTGTAGAGGTTCAACACCCCAGAGTAACTGGCTGCCCCTGCCTCTCCCTGCCCTGCCAAGGTACAGGTAGCTCCTCCAGGAAAAAGTAGGCCCATTGCTTTGCTCTCTTTTTCCTGGCTCTGGTATCTGTATGCTTATGATAGATTAACTGTGATTCTATCAGTTTATGATTAAAACCCATAAATTTTACTAGGCCTTTTTCTTATTTTCCATAATCCGCAGGATTCGAGGCAATCAAATTTTAACTGGAAAGCATGGACTGTGCAGCTAGGTCCCAGTGTAATGGGGAATGGTTTATTTCCCACTCCACCCCCATTACTGGTGGTGCTAAAGAAATATTGTCCTGTGAAAGAGATTTTTCCTCAATTCTCCTTAAAACAATGTCCTTACCTGGGCAAGAGATCAGAGGAACAATACAAACCTTGACCAAAACAAAGTGTCTCCCACCACTGTGGTTTGTTCCCATCCTGAGGTTTCCAAGCAGAGTTTCCCTGTGGATTTGGGTGGTTGCTGAGGGTCTCAGGGTGAACAGTGTGGCAGGTGTGGGTCCCTGTCAGCTGCTCCATCTCAGCTCCCATCACCAGGCAGTGGATAGCTCCAGCCCCTCCAGAGATTTCATCATGTGCCTGTGATATTATCCAGGTGATAAGACATTTCATTCAAATGAGCAAATTTATTCCAGTGGCACTTTAATAACAAAATCAATAAAACTACACTTCCCAGCAGGGTTTTATCATATGCTAAAACTACAGCATATTGCCTGGATTGCCTAAATTCTCTCCCTGAAATAAAGTGCAAAGTTTAGAAGACAGATGACACCATTTGCAGCACTAGTAGGTTAATACCCTAATAAATCCACAGCCACCTGGGCACTTCAGAGTTGTCACACACTGCTCTCCTTGGCCACTGGGAACTTACCAGTGACTGAGAACTGGACTGAGACCTCTGTGCTCCTGAGGCTCATGGTGCAGATATAGGGAGCGTGGGCTCTGGAGCACAGCCCTGTGTCAGAGCAGCAAAACATCCATGCACACAAACCAGCCAGAGCAGAATGCCTACATGGAAGATGGTTATCAGTGCAGGTTACCTTATCTGTGGTGGTTCTCTCCAAAAGAAGCAGCTCTGATCAGGTGGAACACAGAGCATCCAGCTTGGGAACTGGCTGCTCCATGTGGCAGGGACCAGGCTGGTCTCTCCCAGCAGAGCTCCTTGGTGCCAACACTGAGCTAGAAAAGAGATAGGACAGTCAGGAAAGGCTGATGGTCCTGCAAACCCAAGGGGCAGCAGCACCCTGGGCCAGGCAGCTGTAAGGGGACA